CACACACACACACACACACACACACACACACACACACACACGGCTGGGAACCTGACCTGCTGACCGGACATCTGCTCTGAGGGATTCTTAGGCGTGGACACCAAACCCTTTCCCCGGAGGTTCATCTCACCCCCTTCTCCGCTGAACTCACAGGAAACAGCTGTTCCCTGGAATCTTGGGCTCTGTGGAACAGCTTGCCCAGCCCCAGTTGCTGCATGCATGCCCTCTGTGCAGCCCTCAAGCTGAGGGGCTCAAGCCCCCCCAGCCCCTCCCACCCCCTACCCCGCCTACCACCACCCCTGGGTGAACTTCCCCTGGGATTTGGTGGTGGGCAGGCAACTGGGAAAAGGACTGTCAGCGGAAAGCAGGCTGGCAGGAAGAACTTGAATACGTGTAGGGCTTCCTTGTCCCCAACCCTGCTCAGCCACCTATAACGTCAGCCTTTCTTCCTCTGCAGATGTCTCTGGATGTGCATCGATGTACCTCCACTCAGAGGGCTTCGGGCCCTCCCCGGGTGATGGGGCCATGGGTAAGGTCCCCTCTTTCCCTCCCCAAGTCCTCCAAGTTGGGGGTAGGGAGCCTTGCCATGGGGGAGGGTCTCCCTAGCCAGGAGTCCCTCTGGACTCTGGGGTGTCATATCAGTCAATCCTCAACTTCTTCCACAAGGCTATGGCTATGAGAAATCCCTGCGACCATTCCCAGATGATGTCTGCGTTGTCCCTGAGAAATTTGAAGGTCAGAGAGGTGACTTCATGGGAGGGTCAGGGTCTTATTCTCCCACCCTACCCCCCACTGTGTCCCTACAGGATCACATTACCTTTCATTTGTTTTGAGGGGTCAGGAAAGGGTCTGGGGAAGACGTTCCCCACACATGCACCTCCTAATTCCATGTCCCCAGGAGACATCAAGCAGGAAGGGGTTGGAGCATTCCGAGAGGGACCGCCCTACCAGCGCCGGGGTGCCTTGCAGTTGTGGCAGTTTCTGGTGGCCCTACTGGATGACCCGACCAATGCGCATTTCATTGCCTGGACAGGCCGGGGAATGGAGTTCAAACTAATTGAGCCTGAGGAGGTGGGTTTCAGATTTCCCCACCTCTCCTTACCCACAACTCTGGAGCTTGGAGATGAATGAACCTGGGTGACAGTAGTATGTACCTTCGTCATTGTCCTTGCTCTGCCTGACCTGCATTCTTGTCAAGCCTGAGTCTATATTAGTTGCAGGGCTGGCTTAATTCTTTGCACCAATAATCTCAAGTGCTTTTTCTGACCTGCCCTCCATGTGTCCTCTGAGGTAGCATCTCCACCCTAAAACTTGTCTCTTTGGTCAACAGGTCGCCAGGCTCTGGGGCATCCAGAAGAACCGGCCGGCCATGAATTATGACAAGCTGAGCCGCTCACTGAGATACTATTACGAGAAAGGCATCATGCAGAAGGTCGGGGCTAGAGGGCCAAAGATGGGGACAGGGACAATGGCTGTGGAAGGGGACAAGGGCGGGGCAAGGAGAACATTTCTCAGAAGTTTGTAGGAGCAGAAAATGAACTTGTCAGAGGGGAGTAAACAAGGACCATGAAAGGAGCAGACTTTGCCAGGGAACCAGCCTGGGAGGGAAAGGTCCCATGCTTCTGCCTGGACCCAGAGAAGGGCTGCATCCCCCAGTTGGGGGCGTGGGCTGACCCAGCCCCTCTCTCTCCATAGGTGGCTGGTGAGCGTTACGTGTACAAGTTTGTGTGTGAGCCTGAAGCCCTGTTCTCTCTGGCCTTCCCGGACAATCAGCGTCCAGCTCTGAAGGCTGAGTTTGACCGGCCAGTCAGTGAGGAGGACACAGTCCCTTTGTCCCACTTGGATGAGAGCCCTGCCTACCTCCCAGAGCTGGCTGGCCCTGCCCAGCCCTTTGGCCCCAAGGGTGGCTACTCTTACTAGCCACCAGGGCTTACCCCTGGCCATAGATGGGTGCTGTCCTGTGTACATATCGAGGAATTTGGTGTTGGGGAACCCCCACTCTGAAACCCACAGATGTCTCTGGGGTAGACCCCCACTGTCCCATCAGTTGCCTTTGCCCAGACTCAGCCATTCACTCCAGTCTTTGGGAAGGAAAAGCAGAGAAAAGGCAAGTCTAAGGTGGGGTCTCAGAAGCTCCCCTGGTGTTTCACCTTTGTCCCCAGGAGGTCAGCTCAGCCCCTGACTAGGTTCTGCTTGAAGGCCCGAGCCCCACTCCAAGTTTGTTCTGTGCTGGGGACAGAGAATGGGGTTCCCCAGTTCTCCCACTGTGGGAGACAGAAGCCTAGACTCTGCACTCCACCCCAAGCTATGGCCCTAAAGGACTGGGTTGTCCGTTCTTGGTGCTCTGTGCTCTCAGAGGCAGGAGCAGGTGGAAGGAAGCTGGGATTGGGTGTTGGGTGGAAGCGGGGAAGGACAGGGTCCTACTCCTAGGTGCCCTTTGCCTCTCCTCTGCCTTTTTCTAGGACCACCCAGGCCTGGGATTTCACTTCCACCTCATCTGCCAGACCTTAATAAAGGCCCCTGCCTCTCCTGTTTGCTCTGCTGTCTCTTCTTTGCTGCCTTGGTGCAAGGACCTGGGGTGAAAAGAGCTCTGGCCTTGGGGGAAAATGACTGGATTTGGGGGCCCAGCATTGGCCCTTTCCTTACAGATTCAGGGGGATAAAAATTCACTTCTGAATTGACTTTGTTCTGAAAATTTGACTTCTGGTACCTGCTTTCCCCCCTCGTTTATGTGAGGACCCAGAAATAATAGACAAAGGGTACTTTGTAAATTAGATTGGGGTTCCTTGGCCACCATTAGCATGGTCCCTGAAGTGCAGCCTTCCTCTCTCTGGGACTTCAAGGAGATACTTGGACTAGAGCTACCATGACCAGAGTTGCTCCCGTGACTAGGCCGCCCTGTGTGTCCACCATGTGTCCCCCAACTGTTTATCTTCCCTTCTGGCCCAGTGGGGCTGGAGACAAGTGTTTGTCTAGAAAGTGGACCGAAGGAGAAAGATGCCAAGGGAAGCAGGTGGGGTGGGGAGGGGCAGGTAGAGCAGGCCCTGGATAGGCCAGTGAAGGAGAATTAAGTCTTCAGGGCAAGGGACAGTGGAAAGGCAGATTCTTGTCCAAATCTGAGAGATCAGAGTCCAGGGGATGGGTAGAAAAGTGACACCCAGAGGCAGTGTGGCTGAGAAGGTAGGAGGGGGCAGAATAGATTTATCTATAGTCAACCTGTGTACAAACAGCTTCCTGGAGAGGGCTAAGGTGAAAACAGGAGACTCCTGCTCAATGGAACAACAGCCGTGCTGAAGCCACACGATTCAGCTCTGGTAATATCTGAACTGTTTCAGCCAGCAGCCTCTGGCCAGTACTAATTAGGACCATGGAGCCTCGGCAGGAAGGGAAATTTCCTAACCACTACCCACAAAAAAAAAAAAAAGAAAAAAATGACATTTTTCTTAGAAACACAAAACAGTGTACTGACAATTCAAAGCAAGAGACAGAAAATCAATTCTAAAACAAGTTTTAAATGTATGTAATATAGTTAATGTGTGTGTATATATACACACATATAATTTAGTTCTGCACTAAAGCCAGGCTATCATGGTGGGAAGAAGGTACAAAAAATCATGTGGAAACCCTGAGGGCAGGGTCCATGCACTTGAGAGAAGGAGTTAAATAAGCAGTGTCCAGGGAAAGGGTTCCGCAGGTTAAGCCATCTGCCCCCTGTCCTCTGAACTGTTAACAAGCTGCTCAGAACTCTGTAATCCTCAAATGTGGAGGGGCATTAACCTGACAGCTACAGCAGCCACTGGGAGGAAATGACTGATAGAGGGGTAGTTAACACCAAATGGTGTTCCAATGGATGGAGAAAACCTAGACCAAGAAGCCTGACCCTGCAGCAGAGCTTGCATGTGCCCCAGGATGGCTCCCAAGTGCACAAATGCAAGTAGAAACTGTGCCGGGCAGGAAACTCGAGCTAAGCTCCCGTTGAATTAGGGTGAATACTACACTCTGATGGCCAAGATCCTAGCTGTGTGTACATGAGACCCACACCCTGCTGAACTGTCACTCAGTCCTGGGAAAAACTGGCTTAAGGAACAGAAACAAGAGCTTCATTATGTGAGAACTATAGCCCAGCTCCCGTTCCAAATCCGGACAGGATCCCTCTTTCCTTCCCCCTCAGAGCAGCCTCCACTCTGTCAACATGGCTTTTTTTTTTTTTTTCAGTACTGGGGTTTGAACTCAGGGCTTACACCTTGAGCCACTCCACCAGCCTTTTTGTGTGTGTGTGTGTGTGATGGGTTCTTTCAAGAGAAAGAGAGAGAGAGAGTGTGTGTGTGTGTGTTGGGTTTTTTCGTGATAGGGTCTCACAGAGTTTGTCCAGGGCTAGCTTTGTGATCCTCCATCTCTGCCTCCTAAGTAGGTAGGATTACAAGTGGCAACATGGCTATTCTGAAGGACAGTCAGAAGGTCAGATTCCAGCCACACTGTCATAGTAGGGAAGTGACCCTAGCTCTGGGGTAAACATGGACAAGGAATACCCACAGTTGGAGCCTTCTTGCTCACCTAAGGCAGAAGGACTACCAGCAATGCTGCCCTTTCCCTTGGCCTATTAAATTAAACCTTTTTCAAACTCAGCTTAAAATCCCAACCTTTCTGCTCAGGCACCAACAGTGTCTGTGTGCTAGGCACACAGCTGGGACAGGCTGAGCTGCCTCAGTCCAAGGCAGCTCCAGAACAGGGAGATCCAGACTGGAATGAAGACAGGAGCTAGGTGCTGGGCCCATTTTCTTTTCAGTTTCATCTGGTAGTCCCTGTTTTGTCTTTCCCTACAAGATGACATGTAACAGTGCCTTGCCCTTGATTGCTGGCCTTGGCTCACTGAGGAGCATCCTCCAACAGAACTGAGAGGCCCTCACTCAGCTTAATGTAAGGGTCAGGGATCTGCAGTCAGCATGCTCCCTGGCCTATATTCCTCTCCCTTGGAATCTCTGAATTGCATCTTTCCAGTGCTTTCTTTGTTGCCAGTGACAACACATATTCCTTTATCTCTAGAAGGTAGTATAGTCTTTTTCAGTGTCTAGCAGGCAATCCTGTAGTAGTTCTATTTGCCTAATTTCAAAACTTCCTAACATGGGGGGAGGCAGTGGGAGTAATGTCATAAAACAGCATATAGCCAATCTGCCAGCTGGCTTGTAGGCCCCACAGCCCAGCCCAACAGGACTCACTGATTTCTCTCCAGGTAAGGAACCGCCTTAGTTGCTTTAAGAGGAACACTCAGAGATAGCCACTCCCCAAACACAGAGTCCCAGAGCACAACGTTGGACAACACTAACTGGCTCTGGGCAGGTTTTCTGCTTTCTGCTTGTGGTGGGGGAGGGGAGGCTTTGACCCTAAAATCCCTTTGTTCAAGTCCTTTTAGGACCTCAAAGGGAAATAAAATAAAAGTTGTGTCACTACTTAGCATGTTTCAAAAGGAAATGGGACACACTGCATACTGAATGTGGCAGGCGGAGGCAGGAAGAGGGAAAGAGAGGCTTTTATGTTCGTGTGTAGCATATGTAACCATCAGGCACCAGACTGAAACGCTATTCAGTAACACTGAAGGGTTCATCATGAGGGCATCCACTGGCAGAGCTGGGTGAGCTTCTCCAGTGCTGACACAAGATTGGAGATCTGGGCTATATACCATGTTCAAGCCCAAAGACGGAGGCCAGGCCAATATTCTGAACTTTCAGTTTAAAAGAAACAGTCACTAAAACCCATTCTTGTTTCCTTGAGAAAATAAATATTTTTCAGGTGGTTAAGCTGAAGTTCAGGCTGGGGAGAGGGCAGAAAATGGGGCCAATACTGTAGATGAGTGCTATGGTTCTCTTCTCCAGTCAGGGCATCAGGGCCCTCACTACATCTGTGTCATATATATGGTCACTCACTCCCCTTTCCCATCCCAGGGATACCCAAGCTGCCCCTTTCTTAAAGATGATACAATTTGTTCCCATGTTATCTATAAGCCTCCACTGGTCCCAAGACTTACAGTGGAGGCAGGCTTAAATTCCTGTTTTCTATCTTACAGTCACATTTAGAAAATGTCCAATTAAGCCATGCAGTCACAGGATAGCTGTATGTTCAGAACCAGCTTTTTATCAGTAAGAGGAAGTCCAAGCCCTGGGCCACTGCTGCAGGACAGGCAAGTGGACAAGCTTGCCTTTCAGCGTCGCCGGAAGGCCCGGGATATTCTCCAGGCGTTCGGCTCTTCATAGCGGTTGTACAGGGGTTCAAGACGCTGCTGTTTCTTCTGTTTGCTTAGCTTGGTTGGGTCAGAGACCTTGAAGAAGGCTGGGGCAAACTCCACAAGCCACCGAGGGTCAATGGTGGTGACTTCACGCATATACTCCTTTGTGGTCAGCACCAGCTCATGGTACACTACCCTAAGGGCAACAGAAATAGGACTTAAACCTTGGATCAGGTTCCATTCCACAGCCAACCTGGTCCCCTGTGGACCTCAGCTGAGTGAACATTTTTCCCTCTCACCTTACCTGCCTGACCCTTAGGACAACTATGGTCTGTTTAAGACAGTCACATCCCAATAGTAAGAGCTACACCCTCTAACACAAGGAAGCTTGCAGGGAAATGTTTTAGTCCTGGCTCTGGCTTAAACTAGTTAAAGGACATGGAGCCAGACCGTCGTTTCTCAGGAACTGTTTCTTGCTCTGAGAAGTAAGAGGGTAGTTTTTCAGATGATTTCCACAGAATTCTAGAGTCCTGAAGAGGACTCAAAGCTATCATGAAGGGACAGCAAAGGCCAGGCAGGCCCAGCTTCAACCCACTTTCTACTGTGAAAGGAAGCAGTGGTTTTAAGTTAGTTTTATATTAGAGTTATCCCTAAGAGTCCCAATCTTTTTTTACATGCTACTTGAATTATTTTTTTTTTAATTATTTATTTATTTTTGCAGTACTGGGGCTTGAACTCAGGACTACACCTTGAGCACTCCACCAGTCCTTTTTTGTAAGTTTTTTTTTTTGAGATGGACTCTCGCAAACTGTTTGCCCAGGCTGGCCTGAAACCATGATCCTCCTGATCTCTACTTCCTGAGTAGCTAGGATTACAGACGTGACCCACTGGCCCCCGGCTTCTACTTAAAATTTTTAAATCATCTCACTAGACAATTTCTAATATCCTTTCCTAGCTCTCACCCCTACTAAAAGAGTGTGACATTGTATCAGGTTTGTGTGCTCTGGAAATATAAGCAATGTTAGAAGAGGAAGTACTAAGGATGGTGGAAACACAAGCACGACATGCCAGGAATTTTTAGGTTCTCTGCTCAGAAGACCCCCTAGGCCCAGGACCTTCCACCTACCATTCCGGCTGTCTGTTGAAAAGAGCACTGGAAGGGTGGATATAGACCACCTGCTGGTCAATCAGAGTCCGGTAACCCTCCTGTGGGTCTTTCTTGGCAGCATTACGGAAGAACCCACTGCATATGGCCTTCTGTACTCGGACCGTGGACTTGCCACAGGAGACCACATCCAGCTTGTGTCTATCATGAGAATAAGAGTAAAGACATGAACCTGTTCCACTCTCAGGGAAGCTATCTTCCAGATTGACAGTGCCCAATGCCTCTATCTTGAGGCCCTCAGAGTAGACATCAGGGTCTTCCTTCCAGCCTTAAGTGCATTACAGGGGTTGCTCTATACAGTGGATAAGATGGAGGCACTAAAAGCCAGACACTTCAGTTAGGCAAGAATTCAACGCCAGACTGACAATGTTCCGGAGGCTTGTAAACAAAGCATTTTTCAACTAACAAATCATCTTCCTCTTAGGCACTTTCTGAAGTGATTCTTAGCCGCATCTGTACCTGAGGAGAAGGACTATAACAAAGATGGAAATGCTGGAGGAAAAGGATCCTGGGAGGAGCAAGAATATAGGTGCCTACAGCTTCATAGGTACATGCAGAGGTGAAGACATGACACTCAAGGAGGTTCAACCCAAACAGGGAAGTTGCTACATTCCCGGCTTACCTATCCATTATGCCTAGCATCTGCTTCCGAATGTCCTGGGCCCGGCGCAGGGAGCGAGCCTGGATGAAGTTTTCATAGCACCATGGGTTGGAGAATTTGTTGTTCTTCCACGAGTTGTACACTGCCAGAAGGGTGAGATGGTCTCCTTCAGTCTGGTGGAATTTAGCCTTCTTCTGATCTGCAAGGGCTTGCTTATCCTGCCAAGCAGTGCAACAGATCAGAAATGCCAGAAATGGCAGATCATTCCCCACCTAACAGCTACTAAATGAACATCCTAGAGAACCCTATGAGGCCTTGTCAAAAGTGCCCCACTCTAAGCATCACAGTGGCAACAGGCTGATTTCACCATACCCCTGTCTGAGCATGAGGCTGAACTCCCTACCTTGGGCCTGTAGAAGACATTCTGCACAGACAGCATGGACACGATTGTCAGCATTTCCTCACTGCAGCCCAAATGCACAGACATGATGAGCATTTTGCAGAGCATTGGCTCCAGAGGGAACTCTGCCATCTAGAGGAAGAAAAAGAAACTGCACTGCATTCCTGTGGAAAACGTGGACTGGCCAGGGCAAGACACGGGTCAAAGGGGCAACAGACCATAGATGTTCCTTGTCATCATGATGATGAGGGGTACCTCTCTCCTCCAGAAAAATTCTATTTTCTTCCCTGAATAAACCCCAATGTTCTTAAGTGGCTAAGAACATAACTACTGCCAGACATGGTGTAATCACAGCACTGAGGAGGTGAAGGGAAAAGGATCATGAGTTTGAGGCCAGCCTGGACTACACAGCAAGTTCCAGGTCCAACTGGGCTACATAGTGAGACCTAAGACCTTTTCTAAAAGGAAAAAAAAAGCTAGTGGTGGCAGCTACTCCATAGGATAGGAGGTCTAGGCCAGTCTGGGCAAAGTTAGCAGGAGACCCTATCATTTTGTTTGTTTGTTTGTTTGTTTTGGTGTATTGGGGTTTGAATTCAGGACTTCATACTTGCTAGGAAGATGCTCTACCATGTGAGCCACTCTGCCAGCCCTTTTTTGTGTTGGGTATTTTTTTTTTTCTTTGGTAGTACTGAGGTTTGAACTCAGGGCCTTCACCTTGAGCCTCTCCACCAGCCTTTTTTTTGTGAGGGGTTTTTTTTGAGATAGGGTCTCACAAACTATTTGCCCAGGCTAGGTTCAAACCACGATTCTCCTGATTGCTGCCTCCTGAGTAGCTAGCAGGCGTGAGCCACCAGCACACAGCTGTGTTGGGTATTTTTGAGATAGGGTCTCATAAACTAAGTATTTGCCCAGGCTGGCTTCAAACCTCAATCTTTCTGGAGGAATATGGATGGAACTGAAAATTATCATGTTAAGTGAAATAAGCCAGACTGAGCAAGACAAATATTGCATATTCTCTCTCATTACGGATTCTAGACCTAAAAAAAAAAAAGTAAAAAAGCGGGGACTAGTAGGAGGTGGGACCTAGCAGGAAGGACAGACTGAAAGGAGAGGGGTGAGGATGAAGGGTGTGTGTGTGTGTGTGAATATTATGTAAACACTTCATACACATGTATAAAAACAGAATAATGAAACTCATTAAAAATTGTTTTAGGGCTTGGGGTTGTGGCTCAAATGGTAAAGCACTTGCCTCACAAGTACAAGGCTCTGAGCTCAAACCCCAGCACCCATCCCAAAAATAACAATAGAGGGATAAATCTGATCAGAGTACACTATATGCATGTACGGAAACATCACAATGAAACCCATTTGTATAATTAATATATGCTAAGAGAAAAAACGTAAATAAAACATTATTTACGTTTTTAAAAAAAGCCAAAAATAAATTAATAAAATAAAGACTAGACTAATATATCCTGAATAAAACGAACTGTGAATAAAAGCTCATTTTTCTATAAAGAAGAAATATTTCAAATGGTAGTAGAATATTTAGGTCAAAAAAAACCCATCTAGCCAAGGGAGCACATCTATAATCTTGGCATTCGTGAGGCAAGGGGAATCAAGAGTTCTAGGCTAGTCTGTGCTACATATTGAGATCCTGTCTCAAAAACAGAAAGCATCTAGAATCCCATTCAAAGCTTCTCCAGGACTTCAAAGCTTACATATGCAGAACAGAAGAAGGGGGAAGGAATCGTCTCAAAAGTACCACAAATTGTATCAGTCCCTTACCCTTCGACCCAGGCGAGTGAGCAGGCCCTCATCATCCAGAGCCCCCAGTGTGTACAGCTGCTCCATGGCTGTGATCAAGGTTTCCATGGGCGGAGCATCCATGAAGTCAAAGGAGAGCAGGTCATTGATGCCCATGGCCTAGAGCAGAGAAGAAAGCAAGTGATGGCAAGACTAGCCTTGCCAGTGTTAACACGGAGGGGACTTGTCACTTCAGTGAGCGCCACCAGTGAAAGCAGCAGTAATCTCCAGACTAAGCCACACAAATGCAGACTATTCAAAAGCATTGAAACTTCTAAAAACATTGCCTCAAGGGCTGGGGACATGGCTCAAGGGGTAGAACACCTGCCTAGCAAGCACAAGCCACTAATTTCAAACCCCAGTACTGTAAAAACAAACAAACAACAACAAAACCCCTCACAATGACAGCATATACAACTCAACAAAAAGAGAAATACCCTAACTAAAAAAATGGCTAAGGACTTAAATAGAGATTTCACCAAAGAAGACATATATATGACCAAAAAGCTGTATTTTCCCAGTAAGTAGGGAAATTGCAAATAAAACCACAATAAGGTGCTTGAGAAGTAGCTCAGTGATAAGAGTACTAGCCTACCATGGACAAGGAAGGCCCTGGGTTCAATCCCCAGCGCTGCAAAAATAAACAAACAAAAACAGAGTAAGACATTACCTACACTAGTAGGGCTTTAATTAAAAATAAGACAAAACAGAAAATAAGTGTTGATAAGGCAAGGAGAGATAGGCAATCTCTTAAGATTGCTGGTAGGAATGTAAAATGGTGCAGTAGCTATAGAAAGCAAGCTGGTGGTTTTAAAAGTTAAACATAGAATTACCAAATGACCCAGCCATTATACCTCTAGGAATATACCCAGAATTGAAAGCAGGGTCTCAAACAGATATTTTTATACTAAAGTTCACAGTAACATTACTCACTACACCCAAAAGGTGGGAACACTCTAAATAACCATCAACAGATGGACGGGGAAAAAATGTGGTATATACTGCAATAGAATATTATTCACTCTTAAAAAATGAAATTCTGGCATATATTACATGTAAAAGCCTTGAAAGCATTATGCCAAGTGAGATAAGCCAGATACTAAAGGACAAATACTGTATGATTCCACTTATATGTGATACATAGAATAGGCAAATTTATAGATCCAGAATGTAGAGCAGTGATTACTGAAGGCTGATGGAAAGAAAGGGGAGTTGTTCAATGAGTACAATTTCTGTTTGAGATGATGAAAAGGATAGTGGTGTTTGTTGTACAGCATTGTGAATGTATTTTAAAAAGGTTATAATGAGCCAAGTCCTGGTGGCTCACACCTGTATCTAGTTACTTGGGAGGTTGAGATCAGCCCAGGCAAATACTCCTCAAGACCCCATCTCCAAAATAACCAGAGCAGAAAGGATTGAAGGTGTGGCTCAAGCAGAGATGAGAGCATCTATCTATTTTGCAAGCATGAAACCCTGAGTTCAAACCTCAGTTCCATCAAAAATAAAAAAGGTTACAGCAGCTGGGCTCCAGCACTTTGGAGGTAGAGGCAGGAAGATTTTCAGTTTGAGGCCAGTCTGGGTTACATAGCCTTGCCTTTCTCCTCACCAAAAAAAAAAAAAAGATTATAATGGCAGTATAGCTCAATAGCCAACACCAAAAAAAAAAAAGAAGAAGAGGTTACAATAGTAAATTTTTACAAGAATATATATTTTAAAATAATAACAACAAACACCACTACTACTACTACGCCACTTTGCCCTGTCTCTTGCACACATCACTCTACTGCACATCGGTGAAATACCAGGTCCTTACCACGTTAGGCAGTAGGGACATAAAGATCACTCAGTATGGCCCTTGCTCTCAAGAGTTCATAATGGGTGAGAATTCGTTCACAAAACCACAACACAGTGTGATCGACCTGCCTGGCACAGAACAGGTGGTCAATGCATTTGTCAGCTAATCTGATGAATAAGGAGTGACTAAATGTATAAAGGGTGATGTGGTAGGACCTAAGCTTTTTATTTCTTTCTCACAAAGTGATTGTGACCATAAACACAGCAGGTGTTCAATAAATGTTTACTGCGTGAATAATAACTGTGAGGAATTATGTTAGCAATCATTAAGCCCTGTGCCAAGAGCCTTCACCTGCATTATTCCACTCATCTTTATATCAGATGCTGTTAGCAGTTCCTTTTTTTGCGACAAGATCACAAAGCAGAGGGCACAGCAAATAAACCTGCCCAAGGTCACACAGCCCAGAGCAAAAGTCTGAGCACAGATGCCACTCTGCTGGCACGACAGAGCTGGGAGCAGGCTTTTTTCCTGAAGTTCTGTTTCAGCCTCTCTTACAGGGAATGAATAATAAATGACAAGAGAGCACTCTGCACCAGTAAAGTGCCAGGGCTCCAGGGCAGTATTGGCATCAGGGGAAAAGCCATCAGCTGGGAAGTTACTCATTCAGCTCCCCTGCCAAAAGAGAATGAACATCCTCACTGGGGACCTGAGAGGAAGAGCAATGATTTAGAAGGAAAACCAACCCTCCCAGAGGGCCAATCTAAAATCCATTCTGACAGTTCCCTTGCAAAATTTTTGGGCAGGGAGTTTTTCCCTCTTTCTGAAAAAGCAGAATAGACTCTGAAAGCTACCGTGGCTAGGGATAAGTGTGTTTGTTCCACCGTTTGGTACTGACTATATTTTTCTAATTTCTTTTTAGAAAGTGCTCCTAACTAAAACCTATTACACCCAAATATCCTGCTGGTAATTATGGTAAGAAACAAATGTGTGTTCACAGCAGATATGCCAACTTCACCCCAGACCTGCCGTGGGGAGACTGTTATCACGGCCACTGCATTTCACTCAAAGGGACGGGTTCTATGAGGTTACTCAAGTATTTAACAAGGTTCATACAGCTGAGATTCATTTATGAAAACCATGGATTAGACTGTTCCACAACCCATTCTAACAAGACAGTGATTTCTACCTTGAGGGACAGCACTGTGCTCGCTAAGTTGGTTCTCTGGATTTCCGGCACATTGGTGGTCAACATTTCATCTCGGTAGGCACGCTCCGTGTACAGCCTGTAACACTTCCCTGGGCCAGTTCTCCCAGCTCTGCCAGCTCGTTGCTTAGCTTGAGCCTAGAGGGTGGGCATATGAAAGCAACATAGCTGTTAAACACTGCTTAACAGCTTTACCCAGGAAATCTGTTGTGGAGGGGCACTTAGCAACTAGCAAAATCAGAAACAGAGTTTTTTCACTTCCTTTAGGACTATTTCTAAGACTACCAATGCTGTACACTCAGCACTTCAGGGAAGTTTGTTCAAGGGAGGCAAATACAAGTAAAGTGACAGGAAGAAATAGAGAAAGCATTAAAAAATGACAAACACCATCACCACAGTTATGAGCAAAAATGTAAATGAACTAAATAAATTATGTCAATCACACCAATGATGACTTTGTAGCCATTTTTAAAATCGAGTTTACAGCATTCCATGACAGAAGAAAATAACTCACATCTCACATTAAGTGAAAAGAGCAAGTTACAAAATAATACCAATACTAATTTCATAAAGCTTTTTATATGCATATGTAAACTACAGAATGAGATGAGTGGAGAAAATACCCTAAAATGTTAACAGTGGCTAACTCTGAGGGTGCCTTGAAGATGAGTTCTATTTTCTTCTTCTCTGTGGTACTGAGGTTTGAATTCAGGGTCTACATCTTGAGTCACTCCACCAGTCCTTTTTTATGATGGGTTTTTTTGAGATACGGTCTCAAGAACTATTTGCCTGGGCTGGCTTTGAACTGCGATCCTCCTGATCTCTGCCTCCTGAGTGGCTAGGATTACAGGTGTGGTCCACCAGCACCCGGCTGAGATCTATTTTCTCGAAGATAGTACTCTGGGGCTGGCAGACTTGCTCAAGTGGTAAGAGTGCCTGCCTAGCAGGAGTGTGGCCTGAGTTTAAACGCCAGTACCACAAAAAAAAAAAAAAAAAAAAAA